GACCAGCCACACCATTTTACATATATCTTTATACTTGCTCTACTTTGGCTATAGCCATCAACACAAGATAGAGCTGAATAAAAGCAACATGGAGCCACAGTGGAGAAGTTTTACTACACTGTAACTTTTTTTGACTGTCAGATATAAATTGTTAATATAAAATTCTAAAGATGGGCACTGTAAGCTCATAAAAAGCTACGTTCAATGATTATAACCGAATTCACATGATTACTACCTACACTATGACTGTACAACACTTTCAACAGACCCTCCCTGACTGCTGTGGTGAAATCTAAAAACATGAAGCTTGGAATCATCCAAAAAGATCCACGGCTGGCTGACATTTCCCACCCTCCTTCTGGAAAAATGAGAGTGTTTCGTTCCTTCCCATCAGGATGTGAAATGAGTCCGTGCTGAGGCGGTTTGTAAATTGAAAGTGACGGTGAGGAGGTGAGTTTGCAGCGCTGTGGCCGCTCTGGTGGCTAATTAAACCCTCCGAGACTCCAGCCAACCAACACAAGGCCCAAATTACTCTGCAGGTCATGCACGCATACGTCGCAATGAATAATACAATATCACCCCCCACCACCTCCCACCACCACCACCACACACACTGTGGCTTCAGAGGCATGGAAATCATGTCTGTACCACCACTGCATTCTGGGATATTCAGGGATATTGGGAGGGATTGGGGTTTAGTTTGGTGGCAAAGTGACAGTTACTCTTTTCTGCTCCAATTAGAGAGGGAGGAATTTAAGAGAGAACCAAAAAATCGATGTGGAAACCTGTGAGCCCGGATAAATAAGTTTGTCTAAACTATTCTCTTTCTCTGGGTTTTTCTTACTCTTAGGAACTCCTGTGATTTTTTATAGCATATTTCATTTCTTCATGTCCGTCCTGTGAGATCACAATACTGGAAGGAACATCATGGAGTTTGTCCAAACAATTCTTTCTTTAGAGATTTCTGGTGCCTGTTTTTGTTGTTGTTGTTGTTTTTGGCATAGTTCACTTTTTCATGTCATTAGAGTTTCTTTGACCACCTTCCAGCCAAGAAAGTTGTTTAAAACTATGTATCTTGGCAGTGATTGTTTAGTAAACTCTATAACTTCCAAGACTATTTACCATCCAAAAAAAGCATAAACACTGTAAAAAATTACAGTTTTTTTTTGTACGTTATGAATATGTAGGTTAGAAGAACATAGGTTTGGTTCCTGACTTCTCACTGTATTTTAGCTTGTTTCAAGAAGAAGAAGAAGCAATGAAGATCATCTGCCAATGGAATAAGACCATTTCTCTAGATGAAATGACTTGCAACAAGGATATTCTTACAACAAGCTTTCACAGTCGCTATTCTTCTGGGAAGCTTTCCACAAATGTTTGGAGTGTGTCTGTGGGAAATTGTGTTAATTCTGTCTAAAGAGCATTTGTGAGGTCAGACACTGATGTTGGACGAGAGGGCCTGGCTCACAATCTCCGTTCTAGTTCATCCCAAAGGTGTTCAGTGGGGTTGAGGTCAGGGCTCTGTTCAGGCCACTGGAGTTCCTCCACACCAAATTCACCAAACCAAGTCTTTGTGGAGCTGCTTTGTGCACAGGGGCTCAGTCATGCTGGAACAGGAAAGCCTCTTCCCCAAACTGCTGACACAAAGCTGGAAGCATTTAACTGTCTAAAATGTCTTTGTGCTGTAGCGTCAACATCACCCTTCACTGGAACTAAGGGTCCTGAAAAACAGCCCCAGCTCATCATCCCTCCTCCACCAAACTTTACTGTTATCGCTCTGCATTCCGGTGGGTAACGTTCTCCTGGCATCCACCAAACCCAGATTCATCCATCAGACTGCCGGATAGTAAAGCATGATTCATCATTTCAAAGAACATGTGTCCACTGCTCCAGAGTCCAGTGGTGGTGCTTTAGATCACTCCAGCCGACACTTGGCTTTGAGCATAGTGATCTTAGGCCTGTGTGCAGCTGCTCAGCCATGGAAACCCATTTCATGAAGCTCCCGATGCCCAATGCTGATTTTGCTTCCAGAGGCAGTTTGGAACTCTGTAGTAAGTGATGCAGCAGAGGACAGGGGATTTTAAGTGCTACATAGCGGCCTGGCTCTGTGAGTTTGTGTGGTCTAGCGCTTCGTGGCTGAGCTTTTGTTGCTCCTAGATGCTTCAATTTCACAATAATAGCACTTACAGTTGACTGGGGCAGATCTAGCAGGACAGAAATTATACAAACTGACTTGTGGCAGAGGTGGCATCCTGTGACAGAGCCATGTGTAAAGTCACTGAGCTCATCAGTACGACCCTCTACTGCCAGTGACTGTCTATGGAGACTGCAAGGCTATGTGCTTAATTTTATACACCTATTAGTAATGGGTGTGGCTGAAACACCTGAACTCAATGATTAAGAGGGGTACCCACATATATATATACATATATATATATATATATATATATATATATATGTATATATATGTATATATACACATACACATACATTTTCCGATGTTTTGTACTTTTTGCATTTTCATAATATGATTGTGTGTTTGTAGAACTGTTCAAAGCTGCTCAAATTGAGCTTAAAATTGACTAAAATTGAATTTTAAAATTAGATTCACTACAGAAACAGTCACTACTGAAACATTACAAGTTTCAGTAAAGTTATGATGGTTATGTATGTTTGTTAGAGGCAAAATGGGATGTTAAATTATTTTAATAAAATTACCATAATTAAGGTGTAGCGTCATTCAAAGGAAAAGGATTTTAGTCTAAAGTCCATTATCAGTTAAAAGTCCAGATATGTTTGACTCTGACTTTGAACCAGTTCAGCTGAACGATCCACATATAAACACACTCATCTACTTATATGTAATTAGTACTGACAGCTAAAACAACTGTCTAATTAGAACAGAAGAAAGAGAGTGAATGTCTTTTCTTCCTCATTACAGTTCCTTTTTCCACTTTGTCAATCCAGTCTTGTTAGACCACCTTACAGGACAAACGTTTACAGAAACATGCTCAACATTTCCTCGAACATTTATTAGAGCTTTTACAAAAGAAAACAAAAATATATCTTTACCTATTTTCCAAACACAGGAATAACACAAACAGACGGAAAACAGCCAGAACGCCCAAACCATTCAGACGGCTTTAGGTATTTGATAACTCAGACGTTCTTACAGGTGCGTAGCAGGACGTTACGATGTCTGTCTGCAGTTGGACACTGTGACGTAACGAGTTCGGGAGTCCAGACGTCCTGTCTGAAAGCTTTTACCTGCAAGCTGAATATCTTGTGATCTGATGTGATCTCAACCATGTTACTCATCACAAATGTTCTACGCTCACTTTGTAACAAAGAGTTTAAATAATGGTTCTTGAGTCATATTTGTGTCTCCTAACTGCTTTTTTTTTTTAAATAACACGTACAGGATTCAGCGAGCGCCAGGCACCAGGATGTGAATCGGCCGGCTGTGGCTGGAAAACCGCCTTAAATATTGATACAGTGCTTAAGCTGCTGTCTAAAGACCGAGTAGCGACAACTTGTTCTCTCGCGTTGGCAGATAAATAATTCAGCGATCACTCCTCTTGTCTTTTCTCCTCTTTTTCTTTGCGCTCCAGCCATCAGCCCCTGACCCCTCTGCCTCGCTCCCTCTCTTTTCCTTCTGTCCATCAATCAGTCGCTTTTTTTTTGATCAATCGTTTTCTACACTGCAAAAATCTTAAGTAAAATTATCTTAAATCTGCACACTTAAAAAAAGATGGTTCGTCAGTGGTTCTGTCCTGCAGTGGCCCTATTTAGAACCATTGCTTAAATGGTTCTTTGCATGGCAAAATGGGTCTTCAGGTTGATGGAGGTGGTTCTGTACAGCACCAAAAAGGGTTTTTCTATTGTTACAAGCTTGTATACAGTAGCAGAACACTTTTTGGTGCTGTATAGAACCATATTCAACACATTCTCCATCAATCTGGAGAACCATTTCACTATGAAATGTAAGTAAGAAATTCATTTAAGTATGAAATGGTTCTAAATAGAACTCATTAGAACCTTTGAAGAAGCATTTTTTTTAAAGTATGTAGACAATATATATGTTTTGCATTCTATTTGAATATTTGAAACCTTATTATTAGACTATTGGCTGATTATGACTTGTTTCCAGATATTTTGTTTTACTTGTTTTAAGTAATTTTAGTCAAATTATCTCACAGCACTGGCAGATAATGTGGCTTATTCTAAGAAATATGCTTGAAACAAGCAAAATTATCTGCCAATGTTGTGAGATATTTTGACTTACTAATATTACTTAAATAAAAATGTCTAGAAATAAGTCAAATAATCATGTAGCTTCCAATAATCTTAGCTGTATAAAAAGCTTTACACAGTCTCAAAAATATTACATATATAGACTAGTTTTAAGATTGTTTCACATGCCGAGATGTCATTGTTTGCCGTGTATACCATCTTCTGAATGCTGCATCACTTGCAACAGTTATTAATACTTTATGTGAAACACGTCTATGTAAAATCTTGAACAATCTGCTGGCTAAAGCGTTACAGTTCAGCATCCCCTCCTGTGGGTCAGGTTCAGTCCACATCATCTTAAAAGCTGCGATGCATAATTTTTAAAGCCATTTTGCGCAAAGTCACCTTTATGGTGGGTTTATGGTACATAAACATCAACTGATCAGGTCACTCCAAGCAGATGGCAGAGATAACATTCCCATCTTTTCATGAAATTAATTGTTTTTTTTCAATATTTACAAATAATAATAGTGTCTTGAAACCAGTTTCTTTAGGTTAATGATGAATGGCTCATTCTATATTTAAGAAGCGTATCATACATTTAAATTGTTTATTCCTGTTTTCAGCCAAGCAGTATTTATATTACAGTCTTTCCACACCAGCTCTAGGGCCCCTGCCCAGTCACATCACAGATTTCTGTGAAAAATCTCCAAATGAATCCCTACAAACATGCAAAATTTCAAAGCTGTGCTCTAATTATTTTTTTAGTTATGCATTTTTAAAATGTGGATCATTTGATTCCAAATTGCATTTTAAATACCTACTTTTTACTGCTTACAGAATGACTAAACTGCTAAAACATTAGCTGAGTACTAATACTCCACTAAGAATAATGTTTAACTGTAAATCTGCCCATTTCATGTTAATTAGTACCTACAACAGATTAATTAATTAATTTATTTTATTTTATTTATTTACTGACATTTTATGTCATATTTCATTTTCTAGTCAGTTTTAAGTTTTCTTGCAAAATATGGGTTTAATGTAGCATTTGTATATTTCTACCAAATGTATTAATTATTAATTTCTGTATGGAATATAATTTTCAAAATAATCTTGAAAACTAAAAAAATGAAATATTGCATAATCTGACATAAAAATGTAACAAATATACTGTAACATAAATTAGTGAAATATTACTCATGGTGTTGTATTTATTTAATATTTCAGCTCAGTTCAGTCATTCTCTAAGTAGCAGACTCAACATTCAAGATGTGATTTAGAACCTAAAGGGGTGCATTTTTTAAAAAATCATAACTGAAAAACTAATCAGAGCACAGTTCTGGAATTTTCTACGGTTGCAGTGGGTAAATTGACGTTTTTACTGGAATTTTTGCTTTGATGGAAATTCTACACATGACCATACAGGCCCTCGTTAAGTTGGCATGGGAAAACTTATTGACCATTTCCCACTTTACTGATAAACAACTAAAAAAGTCCCGTGTTTTGGGTGATGATGGACAAATTAACATAGCTGTAGAGGACAGCATAACAAGAACATCAGCAAGAATCACTGGATTAACCGCAATGAAATATGATGTACAGCTTCTGGATTGTTATCTATCCCTTGTACTGAACTGGGGCTTTAATAGTAAACTTTCTTCACAAATGTATGGATTCAACACAATGAATGCATTTATACTGGATAAACTTGGGGGCTTCAAATGTCCAGCAGCAGCAGTAAGTTTGGCGAGAAGGTCACGTGATATGAATAGGATATATAATGGATTTATGCGTATGGGTTTATAATCCACAGCCCTTCTGGATTTCGCTAAAACATAAAGGTGCTCAGTCGTGCATTTTCACTTTAGCTGAGTCGTGACGGCTCCTCAGAACCAGGCTCCGATCCGAGGAGCCAAGCGGGGAGCGCGTTTCTTTTTGGAGTCCGCCTCCTTCAGCCACAGCTTCTTTCTTCTGTTGTCGAAGAGGCCTACACAAGGACACAAGCCAAGATTTAGACTGTTATGTCACTGAGCTTCTTTAAACTTCCCAAAAAAACCTCACATCATGAAGTCAGTACAATACTAAATATTTGTTTAATTAATTTATTTATTTTTTACTCTGATTGCTGTATATTTTATGTTCTTGCGTTCTTTATTCTCTTAGCTTTTATGGGTCTTGTCGAATTTGTGTGTCTGTACACTGCAAAAAGTGCATTCTTAGTAAATGAAAACATCTTAACTGTAGACAAAATATTTAATATTTCACATTATAAGATTGTTGTAAGAACATTATGAGATTATTTAAACATTTCTAAATGATTTTTTATCTGTGTTAAATCATTTTATCTAATGAATGTATCACATTCCATTGGTAGGATAATATGATGTTTCAAGCAATAAAGTAACACATTCTAGAAATTAATAAAGTCAGATTATACCATTCTTACAACATAATAATGATAATGAGAAATATTAGACAGATTGACTGGATATGAGGTGTTTTAACTTGCTAAGATCTCTTTTATTGAGTGTTTAAATACCACATTTGTTAGTGTTAGAGATAATAACTGATACATGACCAACATGAATAAAGATCTGATTGACTGATTGTTATGATTAACACTCTGATTAACATTATATCAACAAATTAACACTGTTGTCTATGCTGTTGTTGGTTTTCTGAGTGTAAATAAGTTACACATCCTCCACAGTGACACTCTTCTGTACATTTTAATACACAATTACTGTTTATTTGCTGAATTTAACAAATTGGGGGAACAAAATAAAATATAAAATATGGCCTGTGCAAAAATTATGGCACCTTTAATATTTTATGGTTTACTTTTTGCCAAGATGTTAAACTCATCAAATAAATAAAAATTGTGCACTTAAATTTACAGAGAAATTGTCATATCTGGTGTCACTCAATCATTTGAGTTCAACTTTTCCTTTCTCCTTTTTATTTAACTTTTGTTATATATTTTTTACTTTTTTCTTCTCAGTAATCTTTTTATTTTATTTTATTTTATTCATTTTATCTCAATACTATTACTGTTTTTTTTAATTTAGCTAGTTTTATTACCCTTTATTATTCTTTTACTTGAATGTTTTACATTTTAGTTTGCCTGTTTATCCTTTTTGTGTTGAAATATTATTAATGAATTATCTTGGTTTTATCTTATATTTTTCCTCCTTAATCAAATCTTAATTGTTCTCTTAATTCTTTTGTCATTGAGCTTCTCTGGTTTAGTGCTAACTTCTTTAAGCAGTTTTGTTCATTTTAGTTTAACCTGATTAAATTCCATTTTCATTTCTTTTTCAATCCCTTTAATGTTGTAAATTCTCAGCTACATTGAAAATGAGTGTGAGACTCAATGTATTTCTGAGTGAAAATAAAGGCTGATTGACAGATTGACTGATTGATATTTGAGTGTGTTCTCTGTAAAGGATGAGTGAACTTATTTTCACATAGAAAATCAGCAAAGCGTCATTTGAGCAGGGGGTACCCAAACTTTTGCATATGCGCATATACTGGCAATGTGTGAACACATAAGTCCAACCAATTGTTAACAAGCTGTTTTGTCGTTTTGTCCCTTAGCCCTCCATAAATGAATGCACTGCCCCCCAAGAAAACAATGTTTAAGCATCTCTAGTGACCTTCAGATTATATGCTAACCAGACCTTGTGCCTAATTAACATATGTATGAGTGTCATATGGTTTAAACACAAGCCTTGTTTTCACACCTGCAGGTCAGCAGACACCCACAGGGAGAGCCTTCCCCTTTGACCCCACTTAGCATACAAAAATCTAAACAATCCTAAAGACACAAAGGAGTGCACACTGTTCTGTTTTCCTGACTCATTTTGTTGGTAAAAGATCCACATTTTATATCAATATTAAATTTGCCATAATTATGAGTAAATAAATAGAATTGAAGCGAACGTGAGCTGATCTCGTTCTTGATTTTCTAAGTGTAACTACGTTACCACATCCTCCAAAGAGAGCACACTTCTGTACATTTTTGTGAATAGATTTTTATTTATTTACTGAGTTTAACATATTGGAAAAAAATTAATAATTTTTGTACAGGCCACATTGTACGTGTTATTTTCCCCCAATATGTTAAATTCAGTAAATAAACAATAACGGTGTATTAAAATATACTGAGGTGTGTTCTCTGTAGAGGATGTGTTAACTTATTCACACTCAGAAAATCAAGAACAACATGTAATTTGATCAGGGGTGCCTAAACTTTTGCACAATATGGTATTGTGCAAGAGAAAATGAGTGAAAAAACAGGAGTTTCCAAAACTGGAAAAGGAACACATGTATCAGCTTAAATCACTCACTGGCCACTTTATTGGAAACGCCTACCGTTTATCTCCACTCATTGGCCACTTTATTAGAAACACCTACTTTGTACTTCTGAGGAAATTAAATGTAAGATAATCCACTTGTATAAAGAAGAAAAAAGTCTAAGGACAATAAGTGAAAAAACAGTTCAAAAACTGATTAAAAGCTACAGAGAAAATGGGGCTCCTAACAACCACCTGGAAGACCTGGTAGACCCCAAAACTGCCCCCATCAGATAAACAGCACTTAAAGCTTTCATCTTTGAGAGAGAGGAGAAAATCAAGCTGCTCCAGATCTGAAAACATCCACAGGTGTTTCTGTCCATCCTTCCACTGTGAGAAGACGACTCAGCGCTGTGGGTCTGAAAGGATGTGTAGCTGTTCAAGAAGAACCTCACTGAGAAAAGGAGACGGACACATCAAACAAAGAAGCTGAGCGATGGACTGACCACCCCAGAGTCCAGACCTCAACACCACTGAATGTGTTTGAATACTTCAGAAAATGATCAACCAGCTTCTAAGACTGAACTTTGGAGGTGTGTCTGCAGATTCTTTGAGGAACTGAAAGTGAGTCTCCTGAAGAGAACGGAGGCTGTAATGAAGATAAAGAGTGACTGAATAAAAAATTAATTAATGGAATGTACTGACACCTGTTCTGGGTACAAACCTCTGGAGTAAGCCAGGCCCTGCAGGCCTCTGTCTCCAGTTTCTTCTTCTGCTACGTTTCTGAGGTAGCGGTTGTGACTGGAAGGTCCAGGCAAAGCGCTCGGCCGGTACCGACTCTGCTCCTCCTCTAACACATCACGCTCAGGACAAGCTGTGGAGAGGAATCAAGCACAAAGTATTTAAAGTAAATATTTATATTTATATATATATTTATATATATATATATATATATATATATATATATATATACAACAGTTAGTTCCAGCCACTCAAGCTGATTTGTCGAGAGGCATTCTAACCGTGCTGTTATTTCGCCATAACATCACATTTTTTTTTCACAAACACTGTATCACTCTGCTGAGACGCCGTTGCTAAGCAACGTCTTTGACAGCTGCAGGAGACCCTCAAGCCATTTAAGCGTTTTTACTTCTTATTTTGCCACAAACAGAAAATGGACACTTTTAAGATCACATTTGACCAACAGCCGATTTGGTCAGACTCTGAAGATGAGACGACACTAAATTCCCAAACTGTCAAACTGAATGGGCTGTAAGATGCTTTACAGACTGGCTGGAACAAAACAACATTAATACTGATCTGGCAAAAACTGACAAAACTGAGCTGAACTTGATATTGCGGCAGTTTTATGGCTCAGTCTGTACTTAAAAAGCGCGGCTTACAGCAGACTGAGCAGCGAGTGGGCGGAGCTTGTTACTCTAACGTAGCAACAAGCTGCTCGTTAAGGAACTATAATTTGGTGAAGGAACTGCGAACATTAAAACATATTAAACGCCGCGTTCACGGCCCAGTTTATTAATTTATTACTTTATTTATTTAACTGTGGTATAAAAGCAACAGAACACTCGAGGAGTGTGTTATCACCAATAACATCACGGCTGTGATGATAACATGATGCGATAACACACTCCCTCTCATGTTCTATTGCCTATATGTATATACATATATATACAAATATATATATGCTTAAAGCGTTCTTTGGATTTTTGAATTTGTGAAATGGTGCTTCAGATTGATGGAAAATATATTGTAGATGGTTCAAGACCCATTTAAACATGCAGATGGTTCTTTGAGTAAATGGTTCTATTTGCCTTTACTAAAGAACCCTTGAGGAACCATCTTTCAGAGTGTTCGCAGTGGCGGGTGTGTTAATGAATGAGGATGTGGAAAGAAACCTTTCTTTATAATGTCTCTGATTTAGAGGACTCGCTACTTTAACATCCTTTCTTAAAGACTTTTTCCGCGAAAGACGTCGCTGGTTTGGTGGAGCAGTTTTCATTTTCTCAGGTAAGCAAACCGGACAAGGTCTACAAGCTGCTTTTCTCTGAGGATTACCTGCTTGACCGTGAAGGTAAGTTAAGGATCTCATGACAAGGTACTCAACGAGGTCAGCTAACGTTACTGTTAATGTGTACGAGAACATGGTCAGTGTGCAGGTTGGGAGTAAAGATAATGTAGTCATTCATTCCTCATTGTCTGTTTATCGTAAAGTGTGATTTAACTTGTTTACGTTCCCCCTGTTTAACGCTAATGTCGATTTGTAGGGTCCAGTGTTGTTTCAGTGTAAGCTACCCAACCTGACACTGTTTAATGAATCACTGTGTGAGCAGTAATATCACCAACACAAGGCTGAAGTTGATCTATTTGAATTTTTCATTCCACCTTAAATGATGCAGCAGTTACATTCTGGTGCATTTAGGCACCCGAACAGAACTGCTGCACAGTTTAAGGTGGAATGGGAAATTCACTGGCACCAGAATGTAACAGTTGCATGGTTTAAGGTGGAACAGGTAATTCGCTGGCACCAGAATGTAACTGTTGCACGGTTTAAGGTGGAATGAGAAATTCACTGGCACCAGAATGTAACTGCTGCACGGTTTAAGGTGGAACGGGAAATTCCCTGGCACCAGAATGTAACTGTTGCACGGTTTAAGGTGGAACGGGAAACTCACTGGCACCAGAATGTAACTGCTGCACGATTTAAGGTGGAACAGGAAACTCACTGGCACCAGAATGTAACTGCTGCACGATTTAAGGTGGAACAGGAAACTCACTGGCACCAGAATGTAACTGCTGCACGGTTTAAGGTGGAACAGGAAACTCACTGGCACCAGAATGTAACTGCTGCACGATTTAAGGTGGAACAGGAAACTCACTGGCACCAGAATGTAACTGCTGCACGATTTAAGGTGGAACAGGAAATTCACTGGCACCAGAATGTAACTGCTGCATGGTTTAAGGTGGAACAGGAAACTCACTGGCACCAGAATGTACCTGCTTCACGGTTTAAGGTGGAACGGGAAATTCCCTGGCACCAGAATGTAACTGTTGCATTTAAGGTGGAATGGAAACTTTGCTGGCATCAGAATATAACTTTTCTTTAAATACCTAAAACGATTATTTTATTTATAGATTTTACTGCCTCTCCTGATCACAGACAGATTTTTACCCTCTTTAAATCTGCACTGCTCGCCTATCCAGCAGCATCAATATCTACTTTTAATACAGATCGTGTCAAGCCTGCTCATCTCTGAAAATGAAATCTGCTCCGCTGAACGCACAACAATCATCGTACAAAAATGAAGCTTGTCCTTAATAAGGACGTGAACCTTGTCCTCATTTTCATTTGTAAATGCTGCCACTACTGTAATGTTTTCCCAACTATGACCGCTTCCTATGTGTCAAACACAGAAGAGGGAAAAGGGCATGTTGGGTGGGAATGCAGTTGGGGGGAGGTCCTTCAGTTTTTAAGAACATAAAACTGTTGTTGCAAGAAATGACGCCGACTCCTGCAGTCACGACGTCCCCAGCTGCCGCACCTCTCTCTACCGATCCCTCCCGACATCACAGCACAATTACACATATTATCCTCACGCGCGAACACCAGACCTAACCGTAAAGAAAGTTCAAACACTGCCTGAGGCACTTGTCACCCCCCTCCCCCTCGCCCACCACGGCCTGTATAAAATAATCGTGATCCATCTCCCATTCATATTTCATGCGGCACGCTTTCATTGTGATTAGACATGTAAACAGATTGAGATTTCTTTATTCTTCTCGCGCGGTAATTTACATTTATATTGAATTAGCGTGCGGAGTGGGGGGCTCAGCAGACAGAGCAGGCAGCGTGATTATGCGGCCAGATTACGCCCGTATCTCTCCGCTATTGTGCTGTGTAATTAAAGAGGAGAGAGGGAGAGAAAGGGGACAGATGCTGCTTCTCGAGCACCGGACCCCCTTTTTTCCCCCCATCCTGCTCACTCCTCGACACTCGCCTCCCCTCACTCACCGACCATGCGCAAAAAAAGCTTTAAAGAACAGAATATGTTTAATAGTTGAGCATTTAACAAGCCCCTTGCTGTCAGGAGGCTCCTTTAAGACCTGAGCAGAAGACGGAAACATATAATGCACTGCAACTACCTGTTGATAACTGCTATGTTACACATGTTAATGCTGAATGATATATACATGTTTTGGGAACATATGCTGCCATCCAGACGACGTCTTTTTCAGGGAAGGCCTTGATTATTTCAGCAAGACGATGTAAAACCACATTCTGCATGTATTACAACAGCATTGCTCCGTGTTTAAAGAGTCCAGGCGCTAAACTGATAAGGCTAATATTTACCGTACACTAGTGTCCGTATACATTAAGCTAAAGTCAGATCAGATATAACGAAATACAAAACATTACAAAGTGCTTTGGTGTAATATTACATGATGCAAACCGTATGAGACAAAATGTTGCGTTACAATAAGATGTAATGAAACAATACATTATGTTACACTCCAAAATATGTTATGATACAATATGATACAATACACTACAAAAAATGATGCTATGAAAATGTGTTATGTTACAATAGGCTACAAAATATGATACATTACAATAAACTACAAATTACAATATATTACAATATGTTGTTACAATACACTACAAATTGCGATATATTACTATATGTTATATTACAATACACTACAAAATCCTATATGATACGTTATGTTACAATAGGCTACAAAATACATTACATCTTAAATTACAATAATGTACAAATTACAATATATTACAATGTTATGTTAAAATACACTACAAAATATGCTGATATGTTACATTACAATAAACTATAAAATATGAGCCCTGCGATGGACTGGCGACCTGTCCAGGGTGTATCCTGCCTTCCACCCAATGACAGCTGGGATAGGCTCCAGCACCCCACCGCGACCCAGAAGGATAAGCGGTTTAGAAGATGTATGTATGTATGTATAAAATATGACATTATGATATGTTACAATACACTACAAAATAACGTTATGATATGTTACATTATGTTACACTACAAAATATGATACGTGTGATACGTTAAAATACACTACAAAATAAGACGTTATAAACGTTATGTGGCAGTATGTTATGATACATTATGTAACAGTACACTACAAAATATGATGTTATAATACATTATGTGACAATATACTACATATTGCAATATGTTATGGTACATTATATAACAATACACTACAAAATATGATGTTACGATACAATATGTATGTATGTAAGACAAGAAACTGAGCACTAAAATTTGCAGAATTTGCAGGTGTTCAGATTTTGCATATAACTGTATAAGTATACAATATCAATAATAATCCTCAGTGCTTTTTCTCTAAACTCTTTTATTTCTATGGTGTTATGATGTGAGTTAGCCACTTAGCATGTTTACATTTTATACAGAGAATTTTCTCTGTTAAATATGGTAATAACATCACTTATTAAAGTGTTATAACATCACTTATTAAAGGAAGAGTTCACATTAGGCTAAAGGTATTTTGGGTATTGTGGAAATGATTTGCTCTGGAGGACTGAATGCAGGTCTTGTGGCTGTTCAGAACATTGTTACGGCAACGTTCAGCAGGGTCTTAAACAGCCAGCGTTGGAGTGATTTATTAGAAATGCACAGCAAAGGTAGAGACGGGAAGGACCTGCTTTGAGTCTGATGAGATTTATCACAGACGCATCTGTATTCCTGATACTGTATGGCAGAATTCAGGCTTCAACATGGCTGCTACTACATACAGGGTCAGAAACCACAATCGAGTCTATTAGATTCGATGGTTTGAGGCAACTGTTTGAGGATT